CCTAACTGTATTCCTTGTTACGTTTTGAATGAGTATATTGTATGCACCTCTACTTTGACTTTCAGTTTGACTGTTAGGACATGATTCAGACTTAAATAAAGGAAGGTATGTGTAATGCCAGTTTCAATTTTATTGTCCGACTGAAAGCAGACTGTGAGATTGCATATAGGAGGAAGACCGTATTGCTTGGGTTTGACTGGGTCAACCAAAGACTGGGAGAGTCTCCATAAGATTGGAGGACCCAGTGCTGTGTTTATTTTTGATTGTCTGAAGGACCAGACAAGTTCCCATAAAATTGGGTGGTCTGGTTGCTTTGACTAGCGCAGGCTGCATGTGTTTGACTTTCAGGGACCAAGCATTTTTTCATAACATTGAATGAGTTGGTTTCCTTGCTTCTTTGGGTTTTCTTATGTTTTATTAGTTCTGAAGGAGAGTTGAGCATGTTTCAGAAGATTGGATGACCCTGACTCTCTCTTGTTTATTTTGAGGGCGAAAATTTAGCTGAAGGACTAGACAGGTTCCCATAAGATTGGGTGGTCTGGTCTGGAGTCGTGCACATGCTGAAACCAAAAGGTTAAATTTGTTTATATCTTATATTACTTACTTATGAATAGGCTAGTCATACATTTTTTCATAAGATTAGATGGTCTGACTATAGCTTATCACTAACTGAAGAGAGTATGAATTAAAAATAAAATTGTGGTAAGACGGGACAGGCTGAACCTTGATCTTAAATGACCGGTTCAGTCATATGTTACCTTAAAAGACAAAGTGCAGACAATTATATATAACTTTGATATTTAAATGGTCCAAGGCGACTAGGCTGACTAACCTAGTCATGAGCCCCAAAAAGAGAAAAGTTGTAGTGCCATGTGTTTGAGTGTATTCTATGGATGAGCTAGACAGGTTCCCATAAAATTGGGTGGTCTAGCTTTTTTTATGTCTTATGTAAGCTGGGTATAAGGGGGATAAATCATTAACAGATTATGAACTATTGTTTGATAAGGTTGGTTTTGGGCTTGTGAGAGTACTTACCTTTGTGGTTTGACCTGCATGTGGCTGAGTGAGACTACTACTTAGTCTGAGTTTCAGTTTGATAGGTAGTTGCTTTAGATGTTCGCCACGTGCTAGAGTCATAGGAGATAGTTTCAATTCATGCATTTTCTGAACTAAGTTTATTTTTTTTACTTAGATCGATTTCTGCATTTTATGGGATCATTTATTATACTTGATTTGGTATAAATTTTGGTAAGCTACTTTCTCTACGGGAAGCGCTGCCGAAATTTCTACAAAACCAAGGAGTTGTCAGATTTTGTTTTTTCAAGGTTCAATTTGTCTGACTTTTTTAGGCTTAGTAAAAATTTAGAATTTTTTTTTTTTCTAAAGGGAGTGCTGCCCAAATTTTTGCTACTTCAGGGAGTTAGACAAAAATTGAACTTTGCGAAGTCAAAAACACTTTAGATTCTGAACTTAACTTTGTATAGATCTTGGATTAACACTTTTTCAAAGGGGGTGCTGTCGAAATTTCTACAAATCTAAAGAGTTAGTTAAATTTTGTTTTAATTGAACTCAAATTTACTATGAATTCATATCTAACTTATTAAAAATCTGGAAAGTTTTTTTTCTAAAGGGAGTGCTACCGAAATTTTTACTGATTCAGGGAGTTAGACAAAATTTGACTTTCCAGAGTTATATATTATTTTTGTTTTCCTGAGTTAGTATAATTTATGAGAAGACACTTTTCCTGCGGGAAGCGATGCTGATTTTTTTTTCAGTTTAAAGGAGTTCGAATATATTTTGACAGGTGACAATTATGACAATCCACCATGAATAGGGGAGATGTTGTCATATGTCTACATTGCGTTGGGTACTGACTTAGAGGCCTAGGCTTAGCTTGTAGAAGGACCTTGGGTGAGAATGTGCTATGAAACTTTATTCTCCATACACTTATGAGTTTAGTTTAGGTATTGGTCTGTCTTGTGTCATAGGTCTTCTTGATCGTTTGATTGAGGATTTGGACTAGATTCAACTTGATCGTTTGATTGGTTGCCGATTCGTCGGTTTACGACTCAACTGCAATTCATCCTCAATACTCAACCTAAAAGGTTTTAGCCCTGATGGGTTTTATTGTTTTATTAAGGTTTTCACCCGGAATTTTATTGAATGACCATTTAACAAAGGTACAAAGTATTTAATTATGGAAGGTTGGACAAAGGTTGGGGTTTGCATGACTAAAGCGAGGAGTATGAGAATGGTTGAAGTTGACTCCGTGTAGTGTGTGAATTTTTTGTTGACTCTTTGATGTGATTGCATGTATGTTCTGCGGTTCGGGCTTTGGATTTGATTGTCTGCGATCATATACATATATATATGGTTGTGAGGAGTCTCACTGTGATTGTGCGAAGTGATCGTCACATACTTATTCCCTTTTTACATATGTACATGTACATACCTATGTTTAGGTGTTCGCATGACCTGAGGGACCCACACTTAAGGGTTTAATTGGGGTCGAGATTGAGAAAGGGAGGATCCCCCCCCCCCTTTGTTTATTGTATGTTTCTTAAAGAGATTTCTTAGTCGGGCGTTAGTCATAAGTATGAATTCGAGGTCCTTGTCCAGGACATCCTAGGTCCTAGACTCTGCATGGAAGAGATCACCCCCCGCTCAGAGCCTATTTGCCCTACCCACCGAGACACTCAGCCTAAAAGTCGGAGGTGCTGTAGAGGCCGCACGACTGTTTCTTCAGTCGTGCAATATCGTGAAGGGGTAGACCCTCATCATATTTCGAGTTTGACATTTGAGTGTCATAAGCGGCACTCGAACCCACGAGGGACTGCTCGATTATGGACACTACATAGTATGCCATCACTTCGACTGCTTGCGTATGCCTGCATTGCGAGTCGATATGAGTTAGCCATGCGTCCGCGTGGTTTTATACTAAGTCTCACGCGCGTCGCATATCCAATTTCCGCATTGGAAAGTTATGGGATGGCTACTAAGGGACTAAGAGTGTTGTCGCATTGTCTGTCATGTGTCTTTCTGTATATGTGTGTGTGCGTGTTTGTTATAATTTTTATGTCTTTAGAGTGGTGTACGCGTGGTGTGTGGGATTCGTCCTAGTCGACCGACGACGAGTCGCGCTTGGGACCTCAGCCCCCCAAGGCACCGGTTCGCGTGCAGGTCCGATAGAGGTGTAAAACCGCGCGTACCGCCTATGCTACGGCGAAAGAGAAACGCCCTCGGCTGGTCCACCTATGCGATTGCAACTGATTAGCTTTCGTATTGTGGACTGATAGCTCGGTGGGGATACGCCCACCGAAGGGAGGTGATAACTTCCGTAAGGTGGACGTAAGTCGTGCCTCGCGTCGGCCCTATCCTGTCGTAGGGGTTCGTGAGAGGTATGGCTGGCGCACTCGGTAGGAGCGGCTTGCTGAAGCTCTATGCATATATTGCATTGAGGATCAGACCGACTCCTTCGTGACGCGGTCGGGAGGGTCCCGCCCCGTTTTGTGCGGTTCAGGACCGATGTGCTCGACACCGCTGTCTAGTCAAGTTACCCCGCCAAGATGGCAATGGGTGATGGTCCTGAGTGGTTAACACTAGGGTAGGACAGGGGGGGTGGGGGTGCGCCAGGGCAAAAAAATAAGAGGAAGGGTGGGTGGGGTCTTCAGAGGGGTTCATCTGGACAGCTGAGTGGCCGAGTATTGTGGGTGACTGCCATCCGTCTAGTATCCCACCTCTACAACAATTTGGGCTTTCTTATTAAAAAAAAAAAAAAAAAAAAAGTAATGTTTTGAATGTATCCAGCGGACTAGCTCAGTTGGTAAGGCACGCAAGTGCCATTCAGGTGGTCTTGGGCTCAATCCCCATGGGCCTCATGTACGTAGAGATAGGCCGTTGGTCCCCCCAATTGGCATTAAAAAGTAGTCTCTGCTGATGTTCATAAGGGGAGGGGTAATTGGGGAGGCACAACGACTGGCCACTCAGATGATGCTCGGTCCCTCTGCTACCGGCTGTCCCCTGGCTGGTGTCCCCCATTGGGAGTTCCCTAAAGGCAACAAGGCCACCCTGGGCTGAAAAGGCCACCCGGTGTTAGCCCGATGATAATATATATATTTAAAGGCTAATTCTTTAAGCCCAACCAATTCAATTACCTGTCAAATCTGGACAGGACGGCCTTTCAGGCCTTTTTTATTGTCATTATAGTATTACGGGGAACCCCGTAGCAGCCACATCCGTGCTCAAGCCTCCAACGAGGGAACATGCGGGAGCTGCACCCACCAGCAGGTGCGATACCTGCTACAGCAGGTGGGCGATACCGGCCAGGGGTCAGCCGGTAGCATCAGGACCGAGCTTCTTCGATGGGCCAGTCACTGTGCCTCCCCTCCGGTCCCCTCCCCCTATGAACATCAGCAGTCTCTGCGCAATGCCACTCGGGGGGACCAACGGCATATCTCTAGGTGGCGGGCGCCAAGCTTGCCCAGGAAGGTGCATGAGGCCAATGGGGATTGAACCCAAGACCTGAATGCCACTTGCGTGCCTTACCAACTGAGCTAGGCCGCTGGATGATAATATAATACCTCAAGCCCATCGCCCTTCTGAAAAATAAAATAAAATAAAAATGTTCTGAATGTTTCACGGGCAGGCCTGTCGTTTAATTATTATCCCCTCTGTTGGAACCAGTCTTCTGAATACCAGTTTCTTTTTTGTTGTTTTCCCGCATTTGCCCGTCCCATGGTGTAGTTTACGATACAATACATGTAGGCCCCGGGCACATATGGGACCAGGGCGCAGGCCACGACACACTTATGGGTTCGTTCCCGTGGCATTGTGGCAGGAGCGCACCAACGGGCTACACACTGTAGCTCAGTTGGTACGCTCATGAGCTGTTGAAGCACAGGGCTGTCTTCGAATCCAAAATCCAAATTGAAGCAGAAACTGAGCGAACGCGCGAGAGGTCGCGATATGGTGTAATACTATAATACTATCCGCAACTATTTCGCCGCCGAAATTTCCCGCCAATGTCGAGGATTCCCGCCATCAGTCGCGAGCGGCGAACGCTTCCTGCCGGGGCAAGGTCCCACTTGCACGGAGTAAGAGATTCTGGCCGTTGATCTTTGCTATCTACGGTCAATATCGCTTAATTCGTGTAAGTAAGTGGGACCTAGCCCCCGCTCTCAGGTAACCAATTATGGCATGATTTATACTGTTCTTGCAGGGCAGGGCAGCGCAGCGCAGGGATTTCGCCGCTACCTGTCTGAAGACGGGCAATCGAAAAGTCTGTCTATAGATCGGATGATCGAAAGGCGTGATCTGAGCTGTAATCATCTCGCACCCGGCGCCCACACCTGGTGATGCTCAGGTGGTCTTATCTGCTCTTCGTTTTCTGATGATGATGAGGCTCAGGTGTTCATCTCAACTAGTCTTCGTTTCCCCGGGGCAAGGCCCCACTTGCGCAAATTAGGAGATTTCGGCCGTTGATCCTTGCTATCTACGGTCAGTACCTCTTAATTCGTGCAAGTGGGACCTAGCCCCCCCCGTATAGACTCGTGATCAAAAGGCGTCTGTCTGTCTCCGTACTGCCCTTCGTTGGGGTCCTTACCCTCATATTCGGTGGTGTTTGCGCGCGCACTGTCTTCGTCCTTTCTTTCTCCTCTCGTCTTCTTCGTTCCCTCTTTTCCTCTTTTTTTCTTCTGTGGGCCCCGCTGGATCATTCCATCCTTCCTTGGTGGATTGATCTTTTCAGACTTGTGGAACAGGGATATTATCATGCGGGACTTCAACAACAACAGCGGGCAACGTAATTGTGAAAGCAACGAAGTGTCGCCGAATGAGAGGATCGCGATGGTGGAAGACGAAGGCGGCAAGGATCAAACGGTGAAATCGCTCTCAAGTTTGCCGGCGGAGATTCTGACGACTGTCATTTCATTACTGTCAGTCCAGGATGTATGCGCGTTGTCGTGTTGCTCACGCTTTTGGCGCGCTGTGTGTAGCGGCGATGAAGTCTGGATTCAACTGTATTCCAGGCAATGGCCTTTGGCTGAAGTAGATTCGAATTCGTGTTTTCTGACGGGAGGAACAGACAAGAAGGGAAGGAGGGACTTGCGAGGAGCATCGCCATCGTCGTCGTCTTCATCGTCTTTCCATTCGGCTTCGTCTTCGGCTTCCTCGTCGTCGTCTTCGCGGTCTTACCGCGCGGGGTCGTCATCATCGGTAGCATCATCTTGTTCATCGATCGGAAGCGTGGATGGAAGAAGAGGAGGAGCGGGGGGTGGACACGGTGGAGGGGATAGCTGGGGCGCTTCAAGCTATGGCGGTGGTCGGACGCGGGGTAGTGCAACTCGCGGAGAGGTATCTTCTGCGGAGTCGATCGCGGTCGTCTCCAGTCGGCATGACCTGGAAAGGAGGGGATTTGTTGCCGGCTGTGGACAGGTGCTGCTTGCTCTCTCTCTCTCTCTCTGTCTCTCTCTCTCTCTCTCNTCTCTCTCTCTCTCTCTCTCTCTCTCTCTCTCTCTCTCTCTCTCTCTCTCTCTCTCTCTCTCTCTCTCTCTCTCTCTCTCTCTCTCTCTACCTTCCCTCCTCTTTCCCCCCTGCCGCCCCAAAATTACGTCCGCACACTGAGCTCTCACAATTCCCCCTTCCCGAATTTGTCCTACTTGTCTGAAGAAGGATCTTGTCTCTGATGCCACTTTCTTTTTTTTTTTCCTGATGCCACTTTGACCTTGACGCTGGCGAGCTGTTGCTTTTACTCTGTTCCACAGGTAAGACAGTGTGTTCGCAGCTCTCTCTCTCTCTCTCTCTCTCTCTTCCTGTGTCTGTCTCTATCTTCCCACGTCTTTTTTGGCTCCATCTGCTGTTGCTCAACGGCTTTCGTCTTTTTGTGTGTACTGGAGACACTGCTGCTGCACAGCCGATACCGGTTCTCTCTCCCTCTCCTTCCTCCCTCTCTGTGTCCCTCTGATCCCTGTCGTTCTTTCTTTGTGTTTCAAGCTTCTCAACGGATGAAGCGGTTCACACCCACCTGTCCTTGATATGTAATGAAAAGTCGAAGTGTTTACTTGTCTCTTTTGCATGCTTAACGATTACAGAGTTGGGTGTGCCTCCCACCCCCCTGGGTTCTCTCGTGAGACGACTTTTTTTTTTTTTTTTTTTTTTTTTTTTTTGTCTTCCATGGCTTGTTTCATGGACTTTGTCGCGTTTCCCACTAGTAGCTTTCTGTTCTTTGATTCGTTTCTATGTTTCTGTCTTTTCCGTTTCATCCCGCCACGTTTGAGCTCATTACATCTCTTCCCACTCGTTGAGCTCTACGGTAGTCTTTTCTCGCCGTTGCGGTCTCTGTTACTTTTGCTTCGAAAAAGCTCCAGAGGATCAATAATTTTTGCACTTATGGAGACCGGGGAAGGGGGGTGGGTCTGAAATCTTGTACTTACAAGACAGTGGATGGACAACGTAGATGGCAACGATCGAAATCAAATTGATGGACTAATTATTATCTATTAATAGGAGAGAATGACTAGATTAAAGAGGAAATAAACATACTGATCATCGAAGTCCTGTCCTCGAGCAAAGTTTTCCTTTCGATCGTCTACCTATTTACTATCAATCCGTCGATCGATTGATTGATTACCCAATCAATCAATCAATCAATCAATCAATCAATTAATCAACGAAACGACTAGTTAATGAATGAATCAGTTCATCCAGCTATCATTGATTGTAAAATTGGATCAGCAGCTCGCTTAACCGGGGTGCGTTTCTTCCTTCTGTGCTGCGTAAAGTGGATGAAGAAGGTTAAAGGAAGAAAATATATAATAGAATATAGATAGGAGAACGATGGTGCACATTGCAAGGAACAAAGGAGTGCAAGTGCTGGAGGTCGAACGCAAATATCTGAGGGGCTATGAAGTGCTGCGGCGCTGTAGGTGCTTATCACAAACTGGAGATGTTGATCCAGAAAAGGAGTGAGGAAAGAGGGAAGAATAAGGAAGACAAAGGAAATGGAAGTTGTCGCGCGCGCGCGAGAGAGAGAGAGAGAAAGGGGAATCAGCGATGTGGTAGATATCGCACGCACACATAAACGCACGGAGGAATTGGTGATGTGGCGGGAATGACAGTCCAGAGTTCTGGAAGAGGCAGAGCGGACGGAGATAATTGACGGGCTTACACATTCTACAAGCAAACGAGCTTGGTAGGTGAGTTAAGTGAGTGGGCAAATAGAATGATGGATTAGCGATTGGGAGGTTCCTACGGTGTGAGGCAATGGTTATGCCATGTGCAACGAAGGATTACGCCAGGGTTATGCCATGTGCAAATTGGACAATCAGGGCGGCAGAGTACGTTCTTAGGGGGAAATTCCTTGCTCCCATTGTGTGGCTGCGTCTGTGATGTTGAACGAGATACTGTACATTCCGTGGCCTTCCCTCGGACTAGATCCTAATCCTTCTCTCCTTAATTTGAGTTTGCTTTCCTCCATCATTATTCTCTTCCCTTCATCTCAATGTCTCGGTGACGTCCTCTGTGTCTATCGCGCCTTTCCAGTGGCGATGTATGCTGTGGAGAATGGCTTGGTGGTAAGTGAAAACGCGGAGGTCATTCTTCCAGGCGCACTCAGGCATCGAAACTTGTCGGTGAGGACTCTGAGATTAACAAAATACTAGTAAGCGCGAGTGGCACGTGCTGTCAATCCAGCATGGAGAAAAAGGATGAAGTCCTCTTCTGGTTCAGTGCGATTTAAAGGAGCTCGTCGTTCAACCGATTATTTTGCTCAAGCTACTGCTGAGAATGTAGCGCGTGCTGCTATTTGAAGCTGTTGTCCTGCTGTCCTTGTCCTTGCAGCGTGGACGGTTTTTTGTCCCCATTATCGTCGTCGTATACAGCCATCGTTGTTGTCTTCATCGTCGTACTTGTTACTGTCGTCGTCACCATCGGTTTCTACCGCTATCGTTGTCACATCTTGTATGTGTTTGTGGGGTTGCGCGCGCGTCATTGTGTGTGTGCCCGCATGCGCGCCCATGTGTGTGTGCGTGAAAACACAAAAAAAGCAACGCAGGGAAAATAAAACAATGCACAGCCGCGCGCGCGCACAACACCCACCCACCCACACACACACACACACACACACACACACACACACACACACACAAGATCGCGACGACGACGGCACAACAACGATGATGAAGACGACGACTATGGCTGTATCAACCTTGACGATGACGACGATGGGGACAAAGACGACGGCGATGCTGACGACGACGGCGAGGATGACCTTGTTGTTCTTCGTTTTCGTCCTCGTTGACGCCGTCCTCTCTCTCTCTCGCACAGACACCTGTGAGCGCACGTGCAGGGAAACACGATCCCACACGCGTGCACCCACTCACAAACATAGAAGATGACGACGACGAGGAGGATGACCTTGTTCTTCTTTTTTGTCCTCGTTGACGCCGTTCTCTCTCTCACACGGACACGTGCGTGCGCGTGCGCGTGCGCGTGCAAGGAAACCCAATCCCCACGCGTGCACCTACACACACGCATAGAAGCTGACGACGGCGGTGTTGAAGACGACGACGATGATGACAACGACCTTGACGACGATCTGACGATTGCATGGACAACGACGACAGCGATGATGACCACGACCACGAGGAGTACGACCTTGTTCTTTGTCCTTGTCGTGCCGTTCTCTCTCTCTCTCTCTCTCTCACACACACACACACACACACACAGACGGGTTCAACCTCCTGATGAGTCCGTCAAAGTCCGAGGAAAGAGTCGTGCTTTTCTTTGGAGCTATTTAGCGAACGTGACAACACACAAGTGGACACACACAGACACACACAGACACACACAGACACAGAGACACACACAGACACACATTTATGAGAGGTGTACTTGGAAAAAAGTAACGAGTGCCGTCCTCACCTGAATAGAGCGCCCTGTCATCATGGCTGTATATGGGGCAAGTTTCAGTCCGGATGCAGCCATAATTACCGGGCGTTCTATTCGGGTGCTGATGGTAGGAGTAGAAGAATACACACACGCCACTACGTCTTCATTCTTGCCGTCACCAGAGAACTCAGATGGCGATGGCGTTGGGATCGCAATGGTAGAAGAAGGCGATGGCGTTTTCACACACCTAATCTGAGGTAGGGTTCTGGGGTGTGGAAGGAGCAGCAATTGACGATGGCGTTGGGATCGCAATGGTAGAAGAAGACGAGGGAGAGGATGTCAATGTTGACGAGGAACCTAGAGCAGATTCTATAATAGAGTAAGCGGCAGCGGCCAATGCAACAATAACGACGGAGAGGAAGAAGAGTAGGTAGCACGAAGCGGAGGGAGGCGGGGTCAATCAGAGAATGCATCTTTGTGACCGATCTCACAAAGTTCACAAAGTATGTTCGTCGCGTTAATCCATCAGCATCGTCAAACATCATACAGCAAATCTGGTTCCCTTTTCCCCTCTCTTTACTGAATCGCGGGGGGTGGGGTCAATCAGAGAATGCATCTTTGTGACCGATCTCAAAGTATGTTCGTCGCGTTAATCCATCAGCATCGTCAAACACCATACCGCAAATCTGGTTGCCCTTCCCTCCCCCTCCTCCTCCCCCCCTCCCCCAAGGACGCTGAGGACGTTGTGAACGTGACTTTAGGCGTGGTGTCTGCATGGTGGAAATGCCAGCAGAGAAAACCGAAAGTGAAGGAGACTTATAAAAACACATGCTTTGGAAGATAGGAAGTTAGCTGGGAAAAATCCTCAAAAAGGGCACAGGATTTGGCATGCGGGTGGGTGGGGGTCATTTCCACCCACCCACCCACCCACCCACCCACCCTGTGTTTGTGTTCAGGGATAAGTTATGAGTCATTTTGGTTCTGTTCTAGCCTTACGAGAATCGAAAACTCGGTCCTGTACCTGTGCTGATGTGGCACATCATCATTCTTTCTGATTAATTGAAGCGCATGAGCGCTTTCTTGAGAAGAGAACAACTGGGGTCTCTTTTTCCGGAAGAGATCCGGACTTGAGAGAGAGCTTTCTAGCTTTCAAAAAGAACAGAAGAGCTTTCAAAAAGAACAGAAGAGCTTTAAGAAAACCGAAGAGCTCTCAAAAAGAACAGAAGAGCTTGGGAAACCATCTAAAAAGAAGTGGAGAAGTTTATAAAAGAGTTGAGGTACTTAAGGACATGAAAAGTTGAGTACACACTGCACAGGTGAACTCCATAGCATGAACTGCGCGAAGGGAAGAGCATGAGGAACTGTAGGAGAGGAGAGGAGAGGAGAGGAGAGGTTTATATGAGAGAGGTTGAGGGCACAATAAGTTGGGAGTCGATAACATGAGAAATGGAGTGAGACATTGAATGCGGGCATGTACGGTTGAGGTTGTGTAAAATGGGCCTCGCTCTGCTGTCTCTCGAAATGTGCAAAATGAGACTGAATCCTCTGCGGAAACATGGAAAGATACATTGCCGTGAATCCTGCGCTAAAACATGGAAAGATACATTGCCATGAATCCTCCGTTAAAGCATGGAAAGATAGATTGTCATGTTTGTTGTGTTTGTGTGCATGTCGAGAGTAGTGCAGCGATGCCCTTTGTCGTTACGAGGTTTGAGCTTCGGTGTAATGTGTGTGTGTGTTGCAGGGTTCTTGGCGGCTGGCGTACATGACACAGCGTATAGGAGTTGCTGAGAAGGCAAGGAGGGCCATGAATATTCTGAGAGAGCACAGTGTGAGGGAGTCGGTGGAGATTGGGGACTACCGAAGAGCACTTGCAGAGCTTCACGGCTTCATTTCCTTCAATGATGTCGTAGAACACCTGCTCAAGGAGCGCCACAGCGTCCTTGTCAATCTCCTGGGGCTGCACTTTGCTGTCCTGCACCTCGGAGTATCGGTACGAATCTTGCCTCTCTCAAATCTCAGCTGCCTTTCATGATTATATTCCGTTTGTTGTTTGCAGCTATGCAGCCAGCCTGCCTGCCAGGCAGGCAGGTCGACAACGGATTTGTGCTGCTCAATGCTCTCATTCTAATTGGACAAATTGTATTAGACCACAAATGGTTAACAGGTACCCTCACTTTAGACCCGGAGATCCACTGGGTTATAAGTTATAACTGTGTGAGGTTATGCCTGATAAGGATCTGGAAGCAGGATGATGCCAGTCTTGTGCAAATGCAGGGTGTAAGATCCTGAAAGAGATCTTGATGACCACACCTCTCCCTGTTGACGGCCCTGCGTATCATTTTTGCACTGCCTTTTTCTGCCTGGGATGCTACAGGGACTGGTACCATCATTCCTCCTCCCTCCCAACTCAGCTAATCATGAATGAAGTCTGAGCATGCCACACATCTGCCCCATTGCCCCATCGGCTTGTTGTTAGAGAAGCGCTCCGCTTTGGCCATGCCCACCTGCACAGCTTGGTCTTCAACTGACTTTGTGTGGCTGCAGTGATCTTCTCCTCTTGTCACATGACAATGTGGAATGCATGTGCAGCAGCCACTCCATTGAACCCCTTCGTTGAACACGCCTTCCTGCTGCTCTAGCAGTCGTTGGCTGCTTCGACATGTAGGTAGGATACACAGTCTTTTCCGTGGCTATGAAGTGCTGACGAAAGGTGCAGCATATAGTGAACAGGGACACAATTTCACAGAGTATCGAGAGGGTGATGTTCAAACTCTACTGCATGATTTTCTTCATGGATTGTCAAATTGGGTGAGGAGCAGCAGCCAAAGCAGCCACAGGCATAGGAGGAGGAGACCACTGTCATGAGCTAACATTCTATTGCCTCTCGAATAATCTCGAATAGCTTCAGGGGATCAAGAGAGTAGGTTGGTCCGTTGAGCGCCTGTTTGCAAGCAGGCGATTGTGTCTCCGATTGTAGCGATAGATCGATCATGTGTCTTTGCCCTATGCTATTAACAAGGTACGGGATTGGCCACATGTTTATGCAGATGCTGTGCTTCTGAATGCATCTAGCAGGAGCCTGGCCACCAGTGGCAGACAGCATCGGCCTGGCCCCTCGGCAACTCGGTTGCTCTTTTTTTTTTTTTTTTTTTTTTCCCCGTCCAAATTGGTTACTTATGTTCCCAACTTAGTGGTTGTTGTTGTTGTTGTTCACTGTTTGTCTTTCTACCAAATTAGCGGTGCGGTCGTTTTTTATAGTGCTGCACCCATGGCAGTCGTGTGCGGAGCTTTGCCAGGGACGGAGACATTGCTTGGTCGTACTGGCATTCATGCCAGCCATAATTTTTTCCTAGATTAAACACAACGGCAGAACGATTGTGCATGGAAAAGGCCACCTTCCCTGTGATCAGTGGATGCAGCAGGGAGGTAAGATTCTGTTGAGCAGAGGCCATGTGTCAGGTGTGTTGGCATCTGATGCACCTGACTCAGCAACCTGACGATGCAGTGTGACCTGACCTTGACCTCAGAACCGACGAAAGAAAGTGGGAATTTTCTAAGTGAGGCTGATGTTCGCAATCAGCTGCTCTGTCAAGATTGTAATCAGGGTTTCTGATTCGTCCGGATTTCGAAAGCGATGAATTGAGTTGACGTCATCTTTTGTCTAGCCAAATGGATTGCATGACGTATGTGCGAGGACACACTGCATGATATAACTTTAGCTCTTGTCCTTCCTGGATTGCATCGCCAGCCCACTACCTCCATCTCCTTCCTTTCTGCTGCCCTTCTTTCTTCCCCCTTCACCCCCCCCTCCCAGCAACCCCCAATATATTTCCCCTTCCCGGCCCCACACCGACACCCGTGAACCCCATTAGAAGTTGTGTATACGACCTCGAATCCCTGTGCTTTATGGAGATAAGGCAGATGGCATCCTCTCTGAGATATTGACAGTGACGTTGTATCTGTGTGCATGCATTGCAGGTGGATGATGTGTTACGGGCGCTGAAGAGAGGGGGGGTCGCAAACAGGAAAGTCTGTGTGAGGTTATGGTCAATTGGTGGCCTGGTTATGGGTTACCGTCGACGGGATGAAATGCAGGTTATCAATAAACAGCTTGCGGACTGCTGCAACGATGTGGTACACATACTAGAGCGTGGTGCAATGCACGAGGTGCGGCGCATTCAGATCTCCGCTGATTTCCAGTCAAGTGCCTGGGTTGGAAGGGAGCATCACTGGCAACGATGACCGTGTATGGTTGCTCTTCTTTCATCGCTTTGTTGTGGCATTCTGGTCTCTGTGGTGGTACAAGAGGATCCATGATCTGGGATTCTGGGGGCATGACTAAGATGCATAGTTGAGCTGCCGGATGCCGAAGAATGTAACAAGTTTTTCACCCGCCGGTCTAACGACGAGTGGCTCCTCCGGCGGACGGTGAGTAGTTCTCATGCGTCACACCTTGTATCCGAGCTTGAGGTTTGGAGAGAGGGGGGAAGGCATGGATGAGGGAGGACAGAAGGGTGGGAGGTATATAAATGTTGAAGGGATGGAGTAGAGAAAAGGGGGAGAGTAGATGGCGTGGACTCCCAGTTGCGAGGCTGGTTGTGGGTGTGTCTGCCCTTCGGTTGAATTGTAAATGGCGCAGTTGTTGATGCTTCGTCTACCAGGCTGCCTGTCATATTGTGGCGTGTGCCATAAACCCTAAACCATACCTTACAGCCGACTGACCCGGTTACGGCCGACCGACCCGGTTACGGCCGACCGACCCGGTTACGGCCGATCGACCTGGTTATGACCGACCGACCCGGTTACGACCGACCGACCCGGTTACTGGGAGGTCCTCTCTTTTCCCAGGTCATCGATTGGATTGGTGATGACCTGATCGCTACACACTCTTCTTCTGTCTGCAGAGGGTTGCCTGCTTTTTCAGGAGGATGCCGTGGTTGAAGGGGCGGAGCCGATGATAGGTGAAATCGAAGAGGGCACGCTTTTGCAAGCTGGCATGCGTTTGAAGTGGTAGCAATGTGTATTGGAATTGAACTGCCGTTCCATTATCTTGAAAGCATGTTTCACCTCGAGCGTTCTACTGAAAACTCGCTCGCCCATCTCTTGTCGTTGTTTTGTTTGCCTTCGATAGCTAGACGAAGTCCAGTGTAGTGCAATGAACTTGCAGATGCGTCCGGTGTAGTGCGATGAACTTGCAGATTCCCAGTGGGTTGTAAACGTAACAGGGTCGTGTTTGCAAATTCGCTGATTTTTGGGTCCTAACCAGTAACCATGACAGGTGTGGTCCCCCACAGGGACTGGTCTGTAAAATACTGAAATCCCGGATCCGAGGTCGTTGCTACCGCCACCCAGTACCGATGCCGTAACTGGAAATTGCAGGCCCGTGTTGGGTTGTGTTGGGTTGTGGACTCCTAGACGTCCGTGAGTCCAGTAGGCCGTGGGGGTGGGTACGAAGAGATGGGAAGAGTTAGTCAAGTGGCACTTTCCGTTTCCGTTGCGATTGTGTTTTTTTTCGGTCGACGGGGGGGATGCGCGAATTGGAGTTCTGCTGTGGAGGTCGCCATACGTAGGAAAGTCGCGCCATAGCTGGTGTCGTGGGGGAAGTGGAAATACAGCGCTGAGCGTGTGCTCGAGCGCTGACGTGGCAATGGCATAGCTGTGCTGTTCGGGTTAGGCGCTGCCATCATCTTCTTCATGGCAGCTACCGTCTTCTTCTTCTTCTTCGAGTGAGAACCTCCTTTGTTGTTCAGGGAGCTGGCCCTGCCCCTGCTGATTGGGTGCTGATTGGGTGTTAGGAATATTGGGCTGCTCCTGATGGGCGCAAGAGTAGGGAAGTGGCAGTGATGGTATGGACTCCGGAGGCTTCGGGTGTCAGTCGCTATACCGTAGGATGAGTGCCATAGCCAGGGATCCGCGGATGAGATGGTCGAAGGAAGGGGGAAGTCTTCTATAGCTCGATGAAGCTTTGTTTGAATCTGTTCGGGGTTGTTGAAGCGCAGTTGGGATTGGGATTCTTGGAGTTTTGTACATCTGATTGATCGGAGGAGGAAAAGAGGGGATAAGAAAAAAAGAGGGGATAAGAATTGAAGTTTCACTGTCCATTCTACTTGTGTACATTGAGTGTCTGATATCTCCTTCCCTCCTGTCTTGTGTGGATTTTGCCTCCCTCAAGTCTCTGCTTTATCGTTGCATGCGTGTATGGGGGAACGTATGGATGTTTTTTTCGCGTATAGAATTTCAATCAGTTACATAACAGTAGTGTTTAGTGTGGATGGATGCTCAAGGGTGTAGCATCCAGTCTTTGGAATAGCAGACTGTTTACCGTGAGTAGGAGCAGCATCTGCTGTATGACATGGTGTCTCCCCCCCGACGGAGCATGGATCAGATATTAAAAAGACTGATCAGAACAGATAGTACACTTGTTCCTAGCCAAAAAGCCGAGAATGGTATCTTGTGTGTTGCTATGATGATAGCCGTTTGTGGTGTGCACCTTGAGCAGGCCAATCGCAAGAGCTGGCCGCGGAGGGTGTGATCGGAGGTACATAGACTCGAGCAGGTGCGCAACTGATCCTTGTCGACATGGGAGTTCTCTTTGACAGCATGAGAGTTGGGCCATGAGGATGGGATATGATGTGTACATAGACGGGACCGGGTTCGATTGTTTCTGGCAACGAGGGTGGGATCTGATGTACATACAGCGAATGGCTTCAATTGTTTCTCTGTCAATCTTTCTTTCCATTGGCAGTGAAGCAGTCATCACCAATAGGCATAGACTATATATAGTGTATTGGCATTAGTTGGGGGTCTATGGGTTGCAAAGTGGGTACAGATGTGGAGCCACTGCCCATTGTGGAAGGTCCCAGTATGTTAGAGTTGTCACCTATAGGCATAGACTATAGTGCATTGGCATTGCTTGTGGGTTTATTGCTTGAAAGGGGGTACTGAAGTGGAGCCACTGCCCTTTGTGGAAGGTCCCAGTAGGTTTGACCAGTGAAAGAGGAAGAAGGTAGGGAAGAAGGTGAGGTACCTGAGGTACCACCCACGATAGCATCGCTGTTGAAAGTGTTCGTAGAGCTTCAAGTGGTGTAGTCGAACGAGGAATCAAGCATAGAATCGAGATTGGTGACACAGGAGGTAAGACTGCAAAGAGTCAGATTCAGATTTATAGTATGGTTACAACTTCCCAGAGAACTTGAAGAGCTACCAGAATAGTCTGATGAACTGATATAGAAGGGGTGGATAAAAAAAAATGGACGGGGGGGTGGGTGAAGCCTACCGTTTTCTCACCTGAATAGAACGCCCGGTCGGTATAGCTGTATGCGGTGCAACTCCCAGTCCAGGTCAGACCAGATAGAACTACAATGACTGGGCGTTCTATTCTTCGGGTTTTCAGCCGGTAGTTCCTTCCCCCCATGGTGTACCAATGCTTTACATTGCTCAGAAAGCTTCTTTAATGACAACTCTACGTTGAATGCGGAGAATTGAAACGCCGTAACCATGGAAAATGTCGAACCAGTGCCACAGATATGTGCGATCTGCTGCACTGATCGCAGGGCTGCAATTCCCAGATAGACTTGAAGTTCAAGTGTAACCAGATCGAGCCACCGCTTGAGGATCATCACAAAGTTGCGTTTACGACTACCTGTGGACACACTACTAAGAGTTCAATGCGATCGCCTTTGGGTTAACTATCACTCACTTTTTTACACTTCAGCGACACATGAGTGGTATGATTCGAGTTCAGCTCGAGAGATTCGTTATAGTACACCTAGATGATAGTTCGTGTGTAGTAAATCCTTGTATGCATACTGTGATCATTTGCAGAAAACATGTGTGCGTGTGTGTGTGTGTGTGTGTGTGTGTGTGTGTGTGTGTGCGTGTGCATGGGTGCGTGCATCGGCGGGCGGGCGAGTGGGCATGTGTGTGCGTGTGTGTGTGTGTGTGTGTGTGTG